TGAGATAAAAAGTAGGCTACAGTAATACCATGCAAGTCCAGCAGATTCTTGGGCAGTCAGCATTATTTCTGCAAGGTAAAGGGCTTACAGTGGAATAGCCAAGAATCTCTCAGTGGCCCCATAACACCTCTCATGGCTCATAGGCAAGGCAAGCCTTGAAGGAAGAAAAGCAATTGACAGGAGGAAGCTTACAGAGACACAGAGCTGCTGGGAGGGAGATACAAGTTATTCCTTTATTTGTTTCTGCTTTAAATAATTGTAGCAAAAGCTTTGTTCAGTTTTTTGTTTGTTTGACCTCTGCAGATCTATGCCTATGGCTGCAGTGAGGATAGCACAAAATGAATTGTCCCTAGGAGAGGAATTGTCAGAGTCCAGTGGGCAGGAAACCCCTCTCCTCAAATCTAGAAATGTTCAGTTTCCAAGTAGATTTGGGAGCTGCCAAGTATCAGACTGGGATCTGGGCCACCAGGAGGAATTTTCCCTTGACAAGAGCAAGACACACAGACCTGAAAGGCCAGTCATGCCCTGATTTTCCCTCATCAGGTTATAGTCAATCTCTTCATAGACAGCCTCAGAGAAGGGGTCATAGGATAGTCTGGAGCCTGAAAGTAAAAGACAATGATCACTTACACAGTCTCTGCTCATACTCAGTCTGGGGTCATGAAAAGGAGAAGTGACCTGAAGGGGTCTACACAGCCTGGTTAGTACCCAGAAAATCACAGAGTGCTTTATCACTGCCAGACCATAAGTGAAAATCTCAGTGTGGCAGCAGATGCCATCTCAGTCACCTGACCCCCCCCAGCCTCCACAGTGAACTAAACACTCACATCCAGGAGGCATGTCATACCAGTCCTGAGGGACCCACCTCTCTGTGCCCTGGCGTTTCGGATCTGTCCAGCAAGAATGGCAAGGACCAGGCAGAGAAGGGCCCCCAGGATAATGCAGAGGATGACAGGCGTTGAAATTCTCATACTGTCTGTTGCAGGGTGGCGGGGAGGAGCTGAATGGAAATGAAGACAGGTAGAGAATCAGGTGACCGAAGGAGCTGCTCCTCTGTAGCCTCCTGCTGTGCCCATGCTAGCAGAGTGGGTCAGGTCACCTCCTGCTCACTTGTGGGTCCTGCTCAAGCAGCTAGAATTCAGCAGCTGGGGACAGTGCCACTTGGCTCTCCTTTACAAAAGTCTGTGGGAGATGCTTTCTGGTGAGCTGGAATACACTGCTAATTTGCCTGCTATACAGTATGAAGGAAATTAAATCCTCATTTAATGGAGAAAGAAAGGGGGAAGAAGGAATGTTTTACCTGCTCTAGTGGGTGATGCTGTTGTTTCTGTCATACCTGCAAAAGGAAGGCAAGTCCAGATTAAGGAAGAGGCAACTGTGAAAAATATGGGGAACATCTTCACATCATTTATGAGGTTCCTGCAGTCAAAATTATGAAGGGGCTAGTCACTGGGATGTACAAATGACATAATATTCCTCTATCCATCTCCTTCCCAGATCTGTGTAATGAACCAAAGGACCAGTCACTAACCAGAGCAATTCACCGCAGCGTCTTCCTTATGATTACAGTTTTTGTCGAACAAGGGCTTGGCAGGACAGTCCCAAAGAGATAGCTCTGTTCCTTTACAGTCCACCTTCTCCAACCAGATGGGACCAGTCCCTTCCCCAAAGGCAGCTTCACTTGGAACAGACACAGCAGATCCACAACCCAGCTGCCTGCATACAACATTAGCATCTGCCACATCCCAGGAATCATCACAGACTGTTCCCCAAGAACCTTGGTGCCAAATCTCCACTCTGCCTGAACATCCGTCCTCTCCTCCTACGACTCGTAACTTCTCCCTGTCTGCAAAACACAGAAACTTTCTTTATTGCTGAAATGGCAGGAAGGTCTGTAGGAACCAATAAGGAGAAACAAAGAGGTAGAGGTACCTGAACAACTTGTAGAGTTTGGACACTCAGCAAATGTACCTGGAGATGTTGCCTCTTTTCTTCCTGCGGAATTTAAATACTGAAGTAAATAACTTGATTATGCTCTGAAAAGAGCAAGGGAGTGTAAAATGCCTAAAAATTAATCATCAAGTTAATTTTTTCCTATAATATATATATGGCCTAGATAGTACTTGGTGAATCACTGTTTGGCTATTGCCATGAATTAAATAATCTTCTTGATGTCTGTGCTTCCTTTCTTCTTGTGTGAGGCAGCTGCAATCCCTTTCAGGAGAGCTGAATGTCATCTAGAATTCATTTGTATTATAGTGGGAACCCACAGGTATGAAATACTGTTGTAAGAGGGGCATCAGAAATGGACCTTTAGAACTGAACTAATTCATACACTTGTCCATGGGTATGTGCATGTAGGTGTATACATGTACATAGGCACTGGTATGCCTCCATACATGTAGAAACACATACATGCCTCTCAACTTCTTGAGAAGTCTGACACTAACTTGGATCTCACCGACTGACTGTGTATCAGATTTTTGCTTTAAAAATATGCAACGGCACCATCCTATCAGGGACTTCCTTGGGATTTCCACTAGGTAACTGCACTCAGTTTCATTAATGTAATTTTAATTCACTCGTTTACATCAAGGGTATAAACAAAGAAAAATGTTTGTGCCATTTGCATGAAACTAGAAATAATATATACCAGATAACAAATGAACATGAGGTAATTACTAAAATGTCCATATATGCATGCATAAGTTTGTGCATGTGTCTGGGCAGTCCGGTACAGATGCATTTCTAATTACCAGTGCAAGAAATATGCGTCTCTTCTGCTCGGTTATCACATGACTGAAGATCCCAGGGGTCTGACTGACATTGCCAGAGAGAGCTATGTTGCTCAGTACACTCAATGTGGTCGAGCCATGTGGGCCCAGAACCTCTGCCATATTTGAAGTCTCTTGCGATTTCCCCACCATCTCCGCAGTTAAGGTGTTTGCATACAGTTATTGCAGTGACTTGAGACATACGATTGGAGCAAATGCTCCCCCATGTCCCATTGTAGAAAACTTCTAGACGCCCAGCACAGTCACTGCCATTCACCAGCCTCAGAGCCAGGAACTCTAGAAGTGAAGACATAAAAATGGAATTAGAGGTGCCTGATTCTGCTAGGAACTTGGTTATGATATGAGTCCAGAAATCTGCTAACAGTCCTGTTCGTTGCTCTGTATGAGAAAGTGCCAGAGGAAACCACTCTAAAAGTGTTTGTATGCTTAAAACCAAAAGTCAAACTGTGATCCTTTCTGGTTAGCCAGCAGATTCACCACCACATGAACAAACAGAGTGAGGGCACCCCCACAGTTGCAGGCATATTTCTTTGGTATGTTGAAGTGTAGGTACCATGTGCTTCTCTGATTTGTTGAAGTTTTGGTGTGCAATGACTTGTTTCCGATAATTTCAGAGCTAGCTGGAGTGGCTCCCCTGCAGAAGCACAGGGTACCCCTGCAGCCTCCAGTGACTGAAACCCTGCCAGTTGTAGCCAATACATTTCACCCATCACCTCTGTGAAATACCTGTTTAATGAGTGTTTGAACGTACACCCATTTTAAACTCTGCTTTACCATCATCATAGTCATGAAACACATGCATTATAAACTCTATCCTTAGTCCCAAGCAACAGGTATTGAGATTGTAACGATGTGCATATATAGTCAATAAAACACTACCTCTCTTCTGGGAACCACATTACAAGAGTTAACATCATACCATTTTCAACAGATAATTTATTGCAAGATTCGGATTTTGCCCCTGCAAAACACATGAACAAGAATGTAGTTTGTGAGGTCCCCTCTTCTATTTACTTTATGTAAAGACACAGATTTCATTGTTTTTTTTCAAAGACCAACCGGTAAGTAAACACTGCTCTTCAAACAATAGAGACCATTTTCTTAGGGATTTCAACTGTTGCAGGCTTCCCAATCCAAGCAACCTCAGGGCTGGCTGATACTTTATCACCTGAATGAGCTCAGGTTTTCTTTTGGGCTGCATGGGTTTAAGTAAAACATTGCATAGCTCTACTTTTCCAGCTGCCTGGTGATGTACCTGCTCTACTCATTCTTGAATGGTTGTATTTTTGTAACGACTTATGTTGTCCATTTCCTGCCTAAGCAGCATTCCATGGTGCCAACAAATAGTCCTTCTAGGGTGTTACCTGTGTTTGCTGTCTGAGTGTGGAAAACTTCTAGCTTCCCTTGTGATGCTCTACCACTATGAGAACATAGCATGTGCCAGTGTTGCTGGGGAGGGATGGGTTGGTCTGTATAATCTACTTGCCGGATATCTCCAAACATTCATTTCTCTCACTGTGCATGCTGTTTCATCATTCATGCTGTATGTTGTGTTATTCCACAAACATCACACTGCCTAATTGCTTGCATTACATCTTCCTAAGACAAGCCTAAGCAGCCTTCTCTGTCCTCGATCCCTCGCAGCATGCTTAGCTGTTTCCTAGGCTCATCTATCTAAAAATTAGTTTTCCTTTATGCTGCCATCCCAAATCTCTACTGACAGGTTGAGCCAGGTGGTCAGCTTGGTTGTTACGTTTCTCTTCTTGAGTTCCCATTGAATTTGGGATATGTGTATTATTAATATGACATATTAAGCAGATCTTTCTTCAACTAGCTGTCATACTACTTTCCGTACTACTTCTGCTCAAAATGGTGTTCCTCACTGCTGCCAGTTATCACAATTTCATTATTCAAGCCATTTCCTTACCACATAATTCACTATCCAGGAATTTGTATACAGGGGTTTGCTGGTGCTCCTGAGTATGTTCCAAGGCTGTTTTCAAGGCCTTTCGAACTTCTTCAAGGGTCTTTCCAGATGTCAGCTTCTACTGTAGAGGGGTTCCAAGGATTTCCACTTCCTGCTTCCTGCTGTGCTTTTACAGGATCCATCAGTAAACAAATTCTGTTGTTTATTTTCAGTACTTCTTTCATAATACGCTTGAACTTTGACAGCCAAGATGTTTGGTTTTCCTCACACTGTTGATTGCTGCCCATTGACTTACTAAATTCAACTAATCCTGGTCCAGAGCTTGAAACAATACATGCAGATTGGCAAAAGGCCAGTAGCCATTTTTGCCACGTAGTTGTGGTTGCTCTTCCCTCAGTGGTTTTGAATCCTTGAACCTAAAATTCAGGATAACTAGTCCAGGGCATAACCACAGTAACTGCTCTGCACTCACTTCAGTGGCACTCAGACACCCTCAGCATATGCAGCTAGGACTTCTCACTGTAGAGAGGAGTAGTTATTTTCTGCTCCTTTGTGGCTCTGACACCAGAGTGCCAACAGTGTCTCTCATCTCTTGAGGTGCTCAGTGCCACAAACACCATACAATGCTTTCTTTCCTGCATGTGTGTATAACACATTTTTTTGCATTGCTACCTACCTATATCGGTCCTAATGCCATGACATGGACTATATCCTGCTGATCAGCTCCAAAGCTTGATGGTGTTCCTCTTTTCACTAAAAATTTGGCTTATTTCAGGTCACTTGATGTGTGGGTTTGGTCAATTGGCTGCCACCAAGGATGAGCATACATCAAAATCCAGTAATGCCCAAGAAAGCCTGCGTTCTTATTTGTTGTGTGGAGGTCCACGGTGCTTATCCAATCAGTTTGGACATCTGGCACATCCATGTATCTGCATCCATTTTGTATGACTGAAACCTGTATATCTTGAGGGGTCCTTTTTACTTCAGAATGCTTAATGGCTAATCCAGCACTGAGAAAGGTAATGATTACCTACAGTTCTTTACTTCGTACTTCTGGAGTTGTTCCTCCAATCAATACATCATCAAGGTAGAGAAAAGGTCTTCGGAATTCTGTTGCTTTAAATTTTGGTGGATGATGCCATGCAAGATAGCAAGGGCTGTGTTTCTGTCTTTGGGACAGCTGGTTCCAGATGTACTGCACACCACTCCAGGTGAAGGCAAACTGAGGTCTTGCTTCTTTGACCAGTGGAATTGAAAAATAAAGAAGCATTTGCAATATTGTTTATAGCATACCATGTATATTCTTCAGCTTCTAGCTCATACAAGAGCTGCAATGTGTCTGGAACTGTAACAGCTAACAGGGGTGTTACTTAATTTGGTGCTCTGAAATTTATTGTAAACCATGATTCTCCAGCAAACCTCCATACAGGTCAAACAGGACTGTTGTAAGGTGACTGTGTGTTTAAGATTATCTCTTGTTTTTCTAGGGTAACAATTATTTTGGGGATTTTATGGGTGGCCCCTTTGTCAGTTTGATACTGCTTTCAGCAAATTATTTGGATTGCCAAGAGACTGACACTTGGGTCTATTTAGGCAAATTCAGCATTGTTTGGGTGATTAGAGAGTCCTGGGGAATCTCTTAGAAGGTTCTTACGTGTGCAAGCCACACTGCCTATTCCAAAAAAGCCAAAGCCTTTCTGTCCCATCCATCCATCCATCCGTCCATCCATCCGTCCATCCATCCATCCATCCATCCATCTCTGGTGGTCAAGAAAGTCAATATCAAGGATGACAGGGGCAGTAGGGCCAGTGGCAGAAGGTAATGTGTAAACCCATCCATTCAAGCTCAGGTTCCCTTCCTCCAGAGCTGGCCATGTTTCTCCTCCAGTTACTCCAAGAACTATGTGTCTATCACTGCTAGACAGACAAGACAACAAGGTGCACAGAGTGCCTCTATCATTAGGTATCAACTAGCACACAACATTGTTGAGGCAAGGGTACCTGACTGACTTATCTGGACAGTCTAATAACTTTGATTAACTTCATCCACTGCCAGGCCAGGGGAGAACCCCCCAATGCAGTAAGTTCAAATCAGTTGTCAGAGCAGTATGGGGTCCAGAAGTCAGGTGGCAGAAGGGAATGGTTTAAGTAAGTTCTCACCTCTCTCCTGTGCTCACAATGCTAGGCCTATGAAGGGCTTTTTTTTTCCCCAGTCTCTCATATTGTCTCCCTTTACTTTCAGATACATCCTTAAGTCTCAGCATGTAGGGAGGGACATGCAAAATTCTCATTCTCTTTTCATGTTTTTCCTGAAGTTGACCACACTGCTGGATGCACGGTATTATCCTTGTCTGTGCTGCTAAGCTTACATTCTTCTTCTGGCATCCTCAGTCCAGAATGGTATACATAGGTCACTCCTTGATCAACAGGGCATCCCACCAGGTGGTACCAGAGGGGCATTAGTAACTATGCCTAGCCATGGGAGATTTCAAGCCCTAACATTAGGGGTCACAAGGGTTGCAGACTCCCTCTCTCTTTGCCTGCAACCACACTCCAGCAGTCCAGGAAAATGCAGTTGATTATCCCCTTCTTCCCAGACCGTTCAAAGGGGTATTTTGTTTGTAGATCAGCACAGTTAGGCACTGCTCAACATATCTCTCTATAAACTGATCCCAAAGCCCTCCTACATTGTACAGTACAGTCTTTACAAGTACTTATGTCCCAAACTCCCCAAAGTCCTGCTGTCTCAAGCTTTCAGCTGTATCTCTTCTGCTCCGGTGTCCCAGCAATGCCATAGCCACTGCAGAGTCCTCTCCCTGGAGCAGTGACTGTAAGTTTCTCCACATTTCTCCATTCATTTACACTCAGAGTAAAGATATATGGAGTGGTCACAGGCTGGGGAGCAGTGTACTCTTTTCTGTAGGTCTCCTTAATTACTGTAGCTATGAATGCTTGAAAGGACTAATTTTTTAATTCATCGTAAGTCCCTAGTTTCTCCTCCCAAAGTGTCAGTGTCCCCCTCGAGGTCAATCAATCTAAGCTGTAGGTGCTCCCACAAGCAGCCTGAAGCTTGCAATAATTTGACCATTTCAGCACTACTAGCTGCTAACTTCTGATCAGAATCCTCACTTTTGTGCTGAGCACTAGTTAACACCACTTTGTGAGACCATTAATCTGACAGAGGCCATCAACCAGATTCCCCATCTCTGCCAAGCTGCCTCAGTGCCTCTTGAAGTCCTGCTGTGAGCACAAGGCAGGCTCTGGTGTACCCCACAGCAAAGCAACACACCACTCCTGGGATTTCACAAATAACATAAGACCTTTACATCTCCCGGGCTGATATTCTTGGACACAAAAATATCCTGGATCCAGGCCACTGGAGTTCTTCCCAATCATCTTCCCCTCCAACAAGGTCTGTCACGCTCTTAATTTCCCGCCTGTTTACGCATAGTTCATATCCTTGCTAGTGCCCCCCTTGCACCCACAATGAGTCTACTGTTTACATGACACCAAAACAAGACAAATTTCTGGTATCAGAATCAAGGCTTCTGTGGAGCTTCGAAGTCACTACAATTATTCCAGTCTCAGGGTATGCCAGGTACTAGCGTTGCAAGAGTGTCTCCAACATTTACTCTCTGCTATCATGGGCAAAAGAGTTTCCACTGGGGAAATTTAACTTAATTTTTTGCACTTAATGTAATCTTAATTATTGCTTTGGGTAATGAGGAAAAAAAAAGAAAATATTAACAATTAAATAAATACTTAGGAAAACACCTTTGATCCACTCTGTTAGTCCTAATTTCCTTTGTTTTCCCTTCCAGTTCCTTCAGTGAGGGTTGCAGTGGAGGAGGTTGTGGTTTTTTCTGCTGCTCCTTGCTTCTTATTGATTTTCCTTTACTCCAGCATAGATACTCCACAGGCTGCATTCCCTTCAGGGGTTGTACCTGCTCCAGTGTGGGTCCTCCACAGGCTGCAGTCCCTTCGGGAGTGTATCTGTTCCAGTGTGGCTTATCCACGGGCCACAGCCCTCTCAGAGGCATAGCTCCTCTGGCATGGAAACTGTGTCTCTAGCCATGTCCCCCATGTTTTTTTCTGCTTCTCCTTCATCTCTACTCTCTCACAGCTGCCACTCTGTCTTAAATATGCATGAGCAGAGCCACCATATGCTCCTCTGATTGTTTGATGCTTTGGTGCACAGTGTGTTGTTTCCATTGGTTTCAGAGCCAGCTGTAACTGATTGTAATGGGCACATGGCAGTTTATGACCTCATCTTGCCCAAGGAACACCCACAGCCCCTTGCTGTCAAAATCTTTATAGAAACCCTCCAATTTACCCCCCAAATATCCCACCACACACTTTTGTGTGTGTGTGTGTGTGTTAATGCAAAATAAGGACTTCTGTAGACCCTTTGCATCTTGATGGGACAAGAGAACGTGCTGACCAGCTATACTTGTAGTCGAGAGCAAGAGTCTGTCCAAGCAAGTCTCCACTATTCTCTGTTTCCCCTTCATGTAACCCTCCCCTTTCAACCCACAGTCTCAGAAAAGAATTTTCTGAACACACCTGAGCACAGGACTCCAGCATCCTCTTTGTGTTGGCAGTTGTGCTGGGCCCATGGCCTAGAGGGACATGCCCAGAGATCAGATTCAGCCCCAGTGCAGTTCACATCATCCAGCCAGATCTGTCCTGAGCCTTCACCGTAATAAGCAGAGACAAATGCCTTGATGGCATGTCCACATCCCAGCTGTTTGCAAACAACGTTAGCATCAGATAGATCCCAGCTGTCATCACAGATGGTGCCCCAAATGCCATCATGATAAAGCTCTACTCTCCCAGCACAGCGGTTTGTTCCATTCACCAGCCTGATCTGTTTGCTACCTGCAGGAAGAAAACCCATATGTCAACATGCAATATAACAATAAGGCACAGCTCAGTATAATGTCTGTATGTTTAAAACGCTTTTGGCATCATGTTCTTGTTATATTCCGGTTCTTTTGTTATGGTTTCTTGGGCAGAACTCCTGTGATGCTAAAACCGCATAAAGGGAAAGGCATACTCCTGCATCAGGTAAATGTTTGAATAATTCCTGTGAGCTGTTGCAAAGAAAGTGTCTAGTCATTCTAAGTATATACAGAGATCACATTAACTTAGAAAGCTGGAGAAGCTCTTTTCTATCTAAACTCATTTAGTTAAACAGAGACAGAGACAGTCCTGTTACAGATGGGTTAGAAAATAAGAGTAGAAATACTTCTAATGCACTTTAGAAAAGTTGCAGGTATCTATAAATATAGAAATGTCACAAAATAAAACCTATTTGGTTCACAAGTGACAGTCAGAATGTATGGCAATTATGCCCAAATTAGTGTTCTTATGTTTTCTGTATTCTATTATTTCCTTTCAATTATGGGAGATAAATTTTTTAAGAAATTCAGATGAAGAAAACATTATGTAAATTACACTTGCTTCCTTAACTATCATTTGTCCCTTAGAGTATACATGCAGGTGGGTATCACAAGCTCAGACCCATGCCTGTTTAAGATCTGGTGAGGCCACAGCACAAGGTGGGCTAGAGGTAACCCTAGGAAGCATTCTGTACCTTTTGCACAGTGACTCACCTGAGCAAATCACACCAATGTCTTCAGCAATTCCTGTTGGCACTGTCTGAGAATGCGAGGTCTTACAGAACATCAGCTGAGTCTCATTTCCAGCACACTGGACACTTCTTAAGCCAACAAGACCCATGCCTCGCTCAGATCTTGGAAGGTAATAGGCTTTCTCGGCAATTCCACACTGGAGTTGTCTGCATACCACATGAGCATCCTTAATGTCCCAGTCATCATCCAGGACTCTGCTCCACATGCCATGGAGTGAGATCTCAACTCGCCCATCACAGCGGCTCTCACCACCTGAGAGTCTGAGTGATTCAGCAAGACCTGGGCTCAAGAGAGTTGGAAAGTGTATTGAATAACACCTACTGCTCTTACTGCGGTAGAAATAACGTGCAGGAGAGAGACAGAAGACAAATGTCTGTGTTTGTTGGTAAAAAATAATTCTCACCACTGGTTAAGGAGACAGCCTCTGTTGAGGCTTTGTTTGCTTTGATACACACAGGGGTCTGCAATGGGAAGTGAGAAGAGCTTCCCCAGCTCAAGGACTAGATCTTGCAAGGAGTCAGGCACATGTAAACGATGTGAATACCTTTACTAAATGAAATTTCTATGCTGAAACCAAGATTGGAGCTCTGGGGGAAAGAGAGGAGGGGAAGGGAAGGGAAGGGAAGGGAAGGGAAGGGAAGGCTGACATACCAGACTTGCTTGGCAGAGTGAGATCACCAATGCTGCTTTGGTCTGAATTTGCACTACCCATAAAAGGCCACTTCTGACTTACCTGAGCAAATAACAGTGGCTGCTTCTCTGGCTGAACAGGTTGGATTGCCCAAAGTCACTTGAGCGCAATCCCAGAGGCAGGACTCTGTCCCTTCACAGTGAAAAGCATCTCTCCATACAGGCCCATTCCCATCCACAAAATGGTCTCCTGTGTGGATTGACTTTGCATAGCCACAGTTCAGCTGATGACAGAGAACGTTGGCAGCTTGCAAATTCCAGTGGGAGCGGCAGAGTCTTCCCCACATGTCTCCATGGCGGATCTCCACTCTGCCAGAGCATGTGGTGCCGTTTACCAACCTGCCCCCTGGGCACCCTGAATATAAGAGAAAGTGAGTACTGAGATGTCGTGTTTGTAACTGCTCATGGGCATGACCTGAAAGTGACTGGGAAATGAGAATGAGTTTTCCTTAGCATTCAGTAGTCTAAATTACTCCACTGGGCCACTGGAACTTCCATACTCATAATTAGACTTTGGTTCACCCTATTTTACCGAGAAGAATGATGAGAAATCAAGATCTGGTCCCCTTTGCAATTTTTAAACTCAGAGCAGTAGGCTTCAGGGCTCTGGGTGAACCAATAGTCCTTAACTGTTCTAACCAGCCTCATCTAGGGCCTCCAGCTAAGCACCCTCAGGCTGCCAGTCCAAGGCCTCACTTAAACTTGGACCAGGCCTTCAGTCCTTGCCTCAACTGTGTGGCTAGTGTAACTGTCTCCAGTCTTGTCTCCTGTTACTCCTGACTGTACTCTCCAGATGGATCCTAAAATCTGTTTGATCTGATTGATCCTTTGTCTGGGACTGTCCATAGACCTTGTTATCAGTACCTTCCTCTGTCCTCTGTGCAGATGCTTTGGATTGTGCCTTGGTGGGTAAGGACACTGCCTATGTTGTCCTCACCCTCTGCCCCTAGCTCATCCTACCTTCTGGAGCAGTCATGTTCTTGCTGTTCTCTGACACTAGAAGCATTTCAGAGAGAGCAGCCTTGTGGTGCTGGTGAAGTGCAGCCTCAACTCCTGGAAATGCCTGTAGCAGCAGACAAAAGACTGAGCCTCACAGACACCTTCTGCATTTTTAGTCTGTATTTTTCCTCAAATAAGAAGTTTTTCAGTTCTCCTCTTAGACCTTTCCACTGCTCACCTGAACACACCACATGAGCGTCTTTTCCAGCAGGGCATTCATCATGACCTAGCACACTCACACGACAGTCTCTCAGGCGCGAGACATTCTTCTTGCAGCTGAATGTGCCATTCCAGACAGATCCTTTTCCTTTCCCGAAGGACTGTCCACCTGGTATCAGTAGGGCAACTCCACAGTCCAGCTGCTGGCAGAGGGCATTGGCAGCTGGTAAATCCCACAGGTAGTCACACAGGGTTCCCCATGTGCCTCCATGAAGAAGCTCTACTCTCCCTGAACATGTAGTACTGCCATTTGCCAGCCTGTACCCACCATAGCCTGCAGGAAGAATAAAGGAACTTAGCAGTTACTTTTTTTTTTTTTTTTTTTTTTTTTTTGTGCTGTTGCATTGAAAATTATAAGAGAGATCTCGCTGCAAGGATCTAGCTGCAGGGAACTAGGACTCACTATATCTCAGGTTACTGAGGAACATGTTAGACCAGGATGCTCATAATCCAGCTCTGAAAAAAAAAAAGTCTTCGTTGTCCATGTTGTAGCCTGCACTACATGACGAAGTCTTTTGACTCTTTAAGTTCAGTCTCTCCTCCTTTGTTCTGCTCTCTCCTCCCCCCACAATACTGCTACCTTGCAACACCTTTCCTTGCAGAGGCAGTTCCAGCATTGCCTTGCATTTGGAGCACTTGAGAAACTCAGAGCAGAAGCAAAGAGGAGCACTCTTTTTCACAGTAGCTGGTCATCTCACATTAGCTACTAAGCAGCAACTGCAGTATGCAATTCTCAACTTTCATCCATGCCACAGGATAAGGCTCCAAACACAACAGCCATGCCCATCAGCATATTTGCAGTAATTTAAGTACAGCATGAGTAGGATTATGGTGTCCTACTGCCAGCCCCCTTGCAGTCCCTCTGTCTTCTCATACTGTTACTTCTTACCCTTGGCTGGTCCTTGGATCATCCTCCCTCTGATGAGACCTGGATTTCCACTCTGAGCTGTCGCTCTTAAAGATGGATGCAGGAGCCAAGACATGTCCTTTACTGATACTTTAACTGAGCCTTTTGGCTGTCACAGCTCCCCATCCAGCACTCCAGATCACCGTGGCCAGTGGGACAGTGTCTTGAAACAGACTGCAGCCCTTTGACTGGGAAATGGGCATGAACTGCAGTCCTTTCCAGGCTTGTTTTGTAGAAGATGTTGCCAGCAGCTCTGCCCCATGTTCAGTTTACCCCATTTGATTTGTACCCTCAGGAAAAAAGTGTTTGCTAGGTCTAATCATCACTTTTCTGGTAGGTGGAACTAAGTTAGCTGTATTTAGAGTCCCCAGCAGCCATGACTGTATGGAGTTTTTAAACAGTGTTACCTGACAGTCACAACGAAAGTCATCTAGGCCTTTGACAATTTTTCTTCTTCTTCTTTTTTATTTTTTTTTTTTTAAAAAAGTTAAATTTGTAACTGTGTCTCCTTTGACCTTTTGGAGGTATGGTACCTCTCCCAGTTTTATCATTAACTGAAGTGCCAGGGATTAACAAACACACTGGCAGCACAGGAAATAAATTAATTTCTCCAAGTTCCTGCTTGTCTGCTCACATCATCTCTCCTTTTATGTGTATGAGAAAGACATGGAAGGCTTCTCAGCACTATTGAGTGCATACCTCTTGTAGCATAAAAGAAATTACAGCCCTTTTGTGATCTGCATCCCTGGTGCAGAAATTAAATGGTTGGAACAGCCCATGTTAAATGCAGACTCTCACTAGAGTGAATGAGTGGTTGAGGGGCTACTCTCTATTACTTCCTGGCCTTCCCTGGATGGCTCAGAGCATGATAGGGGAAGCACCCAAGAACCCTGAGGACCACAGAAATATGCAGAGGCTCTGAAATGCAGTTTGACAGGAAGAAGACATATAGGACACATGTAAATTATATTCATCAGTCCAAAATCTCACCCGAACATACAACAGTGGCATCATGAGAGCATGTCTTGCTACGGTGCAGCATCCTGGGACAGTGTGCAAGGTGAGTCTCATTCCCTAC